TAAACTGTAACTATAAAATGAAAGGATGTTTTGATAAAACATGATGATGTCACAGTCAAGCTGACCTTTGACCTTTTGGATATAAAATGTCATCACTTCATTCTTTTATCCTGGTAAAAAAAAAAAAAAAACTATCCCTGCAGGTAAACGATAACTTTTTCCGTGAGTTTTGCTTGTTAAGGTCCGTATTGTACAGTGGCCCAACATTTGTGGTTTGTGGAAATGTTGTTGTGTTTTGCCTCTCAGGGCCACCGTAGTTTTGTATCCTAGTCTCGCTAATGAAATATCTCATTCGAAACAAGAGGTGACTTGTTGCAGGAAGACAAGTGTAAGTTGGAGTGAGGAGTTTTCATAACAGTTTGTGTTGAAGTGCAGACATGTGACTGTTATCTGAAAGATTACGCAAAAACAAAATGATTCTTGTTTCTGAACTGGACTTGTGACTTCTCCAAATGGCCACACAGGCTCATCAGCTATGAGAGGGATTTAGGCTCGTCCTGAATCTCCATGGAGTCGCCCCCACAGAGTCTTGAGTTATTTCATCTCAGAGTTCTCCACAAATACTGAAACAATGCACTGTTTGATCTGTGACCAAAATGAGCTCTACGTGCCTGACATATGTGGGAGTCAGGGTTATCCATTATCTCGGTGCAGGACGAAGGGTTATTGATGTGTGGCGGAGCATGTTTGCATAATGTGCTCCACAGATGAATTATTGACTCAACCCAGTCAACCCCGCCATTTATGGACAACAAAGCTTGTTACCATAGAGTCTGGAGGAGCTATAAGTACCAGACAAGTCTTAACATTAACAGATAGTAGATTTTCCCTGCAGATCCTCAACGTCAGCAGCAGGAATTTACGATCATGGTAAGCGTCTGCAGCCTCACACCTTTCAAACTCTGTCTTCTGTCCTGCCTGAGTAAATAAAAGACGTGTTGCAGCTCATTCTGCAACAGCAGATTTTATCCTGGCAATTCAAGACCTTCCTACCTTGACCTCTCCTTGTTGTGCTCCTGTAGCGTGAATGCCTTTCAATCCATGTCGGCCAGGCCGGCGTCCAAATGGGCAATGCATGCTGGGAGCTGTACTGCCTGGAGCATGGCATCCAGCCGGATGGTCAGATGCCCAGCGACAAGACCATCGGAGGAGGAGACGACTCCTTCAACACCTTCTTCAGTGAGACCGGAGCTGGCAAACATGTTCCCAGGGCCGTCTTTGTGGACCTGGAGCCAACAGTCATCGGTGAGGTTGTTATTTCCTGAAGCAAACTTGGACGGTAGGTTGTTCTAGGAACTTTGACTAATATTCTTACTATATTCTGATTTCAGATGAGGTCCGCACAGGAACCTATCGCCAGCTCTTCCATCCCGAGCAGCTGATCACCGGAAAGGAAGATGCAGCAAACAACTACGCCCGCGGTCACTACACCATCGGCAAGGAGCTCATCGACTTGGTTCTTGACAGGATTCGGAAACTGGTGAGTTAGCCTGCAGTTACTTCATATTCCAGTTAGCCCTTTTTAGGTCCCGCACCTTCTCTTTCCGGGGTGGCAGTAGCTCAGTCCATAGAAACTAGTAGCTGGAGAGGTATCAATTCCCCTCTAGACCTCCTCTAGACTTTCCAAATGTCATTGGACTGAATGGATCAAGTCCTGGTAGTGGAGTGGGGGTTGTGACGCTCAAAGAAGTGTTTCGACTGATTTAAGTCTCAGGGAAAAAGTCTTTTTGGGCCCAATGGCATCACATGACAGGTTCAGAAGTTGTAATCCCACTGTTTGCCACTTTCTGAGGGCCTGGTTTGTGATTCTGCCTCTTTCACTATGTAGGCAACATGGTGACCATTAAGGGTAAGATTGAGGGTATCTAACTTTCCATGCTCTACTTCTTCACCGTTAAAGACTGTTTGTGTTCCTGCAGGCCGACCAGTGCACGGGGCTCCAGGGTTTCCTCATCTTCCATTCCTTTGGAGGAGGAACCGGCTCTGGCTTCACCTC